ATTAGTCATAGATTATATAATGAAAAGCATGTAATAATCTCCTTACCAAATGATTTATTTATAATATAAATAATTTATTAGAAAAGAACCTAAATTGTAAAGTCAATTTATTTTTAATATTTTTTTTTTTTTTTTTAAAGATTTTTTTTTTTTTTAGAAAAAAAAAAATTTTTAATGTATTTGCGGATTGGCCATACATTTTATTTTTAAAAAATATATCTATCACTATTAGATCAGTCAATGATCAAGTGATCTTGGATTATCTTATTTTGAGCCTAATATTATTTATTTAAATTAAATATTAAAAATTTTTGTTATTTCTTTTTAATATTTCTTTTTTTGTTTAATGATCCCTTTAGTGTAATCTAGTATAAAACTTAATATTAATACTTAATATTAAACCAAACTTGTTAATTCAATGAAGTTTTTAAAATTTAATATAAAAAAAAAAAATTTACTATAACGAAAAAAGAATCAGAATAGCTTGGGAGAATGATAAATGATAATAACATTGATACGTAATACACTATGATATTAATTTAACCTTAAATAAACCTATTGTCATAATCATAATATGAATCCAAGGGTTTACTTATTATTTATATACAAAACTTACAAAACCTGATTGTTCTCAACTTACTTTCTTTGATAAAGTTTTATTGTTTAAAAATAAGATCATTTATTGATTGATTGGTTAAAAATATAGATTAGATTTAAATAACCTGAAATGCGTGGCTCGTTTGCTCTTACGACAAATTTATTTTGTCGATTTATGCTAATTATGGTGAAATAAATAGATCAGATGAGGTTTCTTGTTTTAATAATCTAACGTTTTATGTTCAAGTGAAAATCAAATTTTTTTTTTCGATTTCGGGTGTAAAATTTGTATGACGCGAGTATCTACATCAAACGCGATGTTTCGAATAAATGAACTTTATTTCACTTGAAGATTTTATATGCTATGCTATTAATATTAATTGCATCACTTGCAGAACTGTTTTTTTTCTGTGTAAAAAGTGATACCCGCGCGTGTAATGTAAATAATGTGATAAGGATATTCAATCATGACATCATGATCATTTTAATTAGAAAGAATTGAAAGAACAATAGAAGGAAAGGAGGAAATAATGTGGTTATGCAAGTAAATATAAATGTATTCTTTGAAAAACAAGGCAAGTTAGTTCGGAATGAAACAAGAATTTTTTTTTCCCTCCAATCCCAAATGTTCTAAAAAGATCTATCGAGTAAACCAGGTACGGATTTGGAAAATTTTCCCTTCCTATCCAAAAGATGAATAGAGTAAACCGGGCACGGATTTGAAAATGACAATAAGTCATCTGAAAGATATTTTTTCGTGTTTTTTAAAAAAAAAAAAAGCAAAGATAAAAAACAAACAATAAACAACATTAAACATCCTACGCAAAGTTTAACGATAAATGATCATTTGTTGTACATTTTAATTTAAACCTACCAAATCACTTGTTTCTTTGAAAAGATCGAAGGTTGCTTTAAATAAATTCAAAACAAAAACCTTTAAAAGGAAAGGGAGAAAAAAATAGAGAGGAAAATAAGAGTATTTGACCAACCGGAATAATGTATTAGAAGATATATATAGAAAAAATCAGCCGATTTTCACGCGTATATATAAAAAATAGAAAAAATCCACCAATTTAAGATGGGGATAAAATAAGGCGATTAAAGAATTACGAGTCGATGAGTCCAGCCTGAATATCGATTTCTATTCTATTTTACCGTGTCAATCGCTGATCATGTGAATGACGTGTCAGATTAGCTAATCAATCGAGTATATATATTTTGTTTTTTATAGTGTCAAATATAATGTCAATCATCTTGGATAAACTGGTTAATACAAACCATTGTTTTTGCAGATTTATTTATATTACCGTCGTGTATGACACAGCTAAACAAGCTAAACAACAAATAAGATATAGTTCGGAATTGATTACGGGATGGTCTACCAGTTGTTTTGTTGCAATGTTATTTTCGGAGAAGTGCTGGTTTTAAATTAACTATTTAAAGGATATTTATAATTTATTGATTAGAACGTTAAGATATTTTTAGGATGAGTACGCGGGTAGTTGCGTGATGATAAAAAAGAATGTGTGATGGAAGAAAATGATTAACTGAGGAGATGAACTTTTATGTGGTAAAACCCGAATTGCATTTAAACTTAATATTCCGTTATATTTAGGGAAGCCATATATAAATCCTTCTCGTGAATAAAAGTTTACAAATATGATAAACATGATGGATGCTACACTATTATTTATAGAAAAAAGATTTATTTTTTCCTACGCTTCTTTATTTTTATTTTTATTTATTTATTTATTTCTTTCTTTTTGGGATATGAATAGAAGTTGAAACTTAAACCATTACCCCTTTTGTGTAATTAGGTATGTGTAATTAATTTGTTGTTAATTAGTTGTGTGTAATCTCTTTTTTTTGAGATGATCAACAAGCATAAATTTTTTTTTTTTCTTTTTTTTCTTTTAATTTATCCGCTCAGTGTGTACTGGCTCTCCTACCTGTCTGTCTTGATAAAGAAGAATGGATGGATGTCATCAGGAACGTTACGTACAAATCATCGTTTGAGGAACCTTTCTTGTCTTTGTTAGCCGTAAATTTTCTATCCTCTTTGTTCTTTTTTATCGTTCATTGTTTTTATCATCGTAAAATTATTTTAATTTGTTCAACTTTTCCTTGTTAAAAATCAAAGAATATCATCTGGAAATGACAAAATGTTGACGGACGAATTTGATTTGATCATTTGATGAAGAGTATAAGTATGCAGGGAATAATTAAAATTTATATATTTATCCCTAGTTGAATTAATAATATTAAGCAGAATATTAGTAATGATTTATGATTGTATTGTTTGGGTAAATTAAGTATGAGTAATGGAAATTTGAAAACAGTAGGATATTAATAATATTTAAAAATGACTAATATGTAATAAACCGAAATAGTTTGGTACGTCGTAATATTTGTACAGTACGTAATCATCATTTTTAAACAATAATATTGTTTTATTAAAAGGAAAAAAAAAATTATATGGGAAGTTGGGAAAGATGGAGAAATTAAACAATGGATTAATTCTTTATTCGGTTCATCACGGAAGCATAAGGTGATATTCTCGTTGTTGAGAAATATCTTGGAAGGATTTTTTTTTTTTGTGATACACATATGCTAACATCTTTTTTTTTTCTTTTAAAAAAAAAAAGGAAAAAAAAAAAAAACAATGCTGTCCGAGATTGGTGACAGTTAAACGCGAATTTATTATTATTTTTGTAACAAAGGATATTATGACGACGAGATGCGTTACTTACCCAACTCACGGACATATTGTTTATGAGATGAAAAATTGTTGAATTATTGTTTGTTGTTTACACTAGTTTATGGATATAGGAGAAATGAGTTTGAGAGGGAATGTTTCATGTGTATAGTATTATGTTTTTTTTGCTGCGGGGTCATACATTATCACTATTAAATCAAATTAATTTTAAATCGCATATAGACATGTAGATATTGTTATTTATATGTATATATGTGCGTATATAAATATCAAAAATTCGATCTAACCAATTATACATAAAAGATTTTCCTTTTCGCGTATCCTCCAAATTTGATGATTTTATTACTTTTTGATTCCATTTATTTTTTTTAAAAATAAAGGGATTCACATAATACGAGATTTGAATTTGTCATTTTCCTCTTTTAAAGGATTCATATAATAAGATTAATCTTTTATTAACTTTAATTATTTTCCGATTTGACCTATTTACAAATCATTTTATGAATATTATTATTTCCCTAACCCCTCTTTTTTTAAAAAAAATTTAATTAATTGAATTGTTTCGAAATTAGAAACAACTGATAAAACCATAAATATTAAAATTCTATATATAAATCTGATTTTTTTCTCGTCCTGTAAACTATCAAAAAAAAAAAAAAAAATCTTGACATAATCGAATTAATCCCCAACTTTTTTAATGTGACAATACTTGTCTATTTTATATTCATTGTGGGGTTGAACCAAACTACGTTTTAAACAAAATCAGGTGTAATAACTAGTTTACCGTTTGGAATAAAAAGAATCAGGTATTTTATCTTTATCTTTTTTTTTTTTTTTTATTTATTTATTTATTTTATTGAATAGTACATATAAATGTACAGATACATATATTTTTTATTATTATTATTATTATTATTATTATTATTATTATTATTTTTTACTTTTACTTTTTGAACATACTTTAAGTTATATAATAGATCAACAACAAACAACATGAACTTTTATCTTTTAGACTAAACTTTAAAGTAACACTTAAAACTATATCTTTTATAAATATAAACACCGGCACGTTATTTTTTTTTTTTTTTTTTTTTTTTTTTTTGAAAATCAATTTTTTTTAAAAAAAAAAATTTTTTTTTTTTTTTTGCTTTCATTTCCTATTTAATTTTTAGTTTCTGCTGATATGATTAAATTAACATTACATTATATTATTATTATATTTTAACGAAAAAAAAAGAAAAAGAAACGAGACGTAAAACGAAAAAAAATCCCATTCAAAAAAACGAATAAATAATTATTTACGAAAATTCTCCTTTTTCATGTTCATTCTTAAAAATTTTTGGCATATTATTATTATTCTTATATAATATTCCTTCATTTATGAATTTGAAATGACAAATAATCACGAAATTACTTTTTATTAATTTGGAGTTTTTTTTTCCAAACCAAAGATTAAATCCAATTCAAAACTCGACCTTTTGGTTTTACAAATTATTTACCACATTATTATATCATAAAAATTCTTGCATCCATGTCTCTAAATTATTCGACTTCATCCTCTTCCTCCTCTTCTTCCTCGTCCTCCTCTTCGCTGGTCGCATCGTCTTTGGCAGTGTCCACAACGACAAGTTCTCCTTTACTCAATTCTGCTTCCGAAGAATATCACAAGAGACATTTTCACAAAAAAATGGCCTGCGCCGCAGCTAATATTGCAGATTTCATAAAAAGATTATACAGGTACATTTATTAAATATTTTAAAATACGCGTCTCTTTTTCTCTCCCCTCCCTTTTATTTTCTTTTTAAAGGCAATCAATTATTAACTCTTCTTTGAAAGTAAAAATACATTGAAATACGTCTTGTGTTACTATCATCGTTTGAGTTCATTTTTTTTTACTAAATATAACTTGCCCATCTCTCCTTTTTAGAATGTTGGAAGATAAATCCCACGCTCACATTGTTTCTTGGGGAGTGACAGGAGACACATTTGTTGTTCATGATCAAACGGAATTTTCAAAGAGTGTTTTACCGCAACATTTTAAACATAATAATATGGCTAGTTTTGTCAGACAATTAAACAAATATGATTTTCATAAAATAAAAAGTAATGATGATGATGCGAGACCATACAGCGAACAGGTAAAAAACAAAAAAAAAAAAATTCTAAAATTTTAATTCCAAGGGAAACAAAACATGTGAGGGGAAGAAATGTTTCCGAATATTCAATAATTATTAATGGTGTAACGAAAAGAACTTCAACGATCTCCAATAAATTCTAGTATATTTTGATGTGCATTATTCGTTGCTTTATTAGTACATTTGGTTATTACTCGCGTTTATATTTTAGTTATAAACTTTAAATTTATTTATAATTTGCCACGCGATACTTGTATATAAACAATTCTCTTATTTTAGTAATATTTAATTTACAAAGCTAAATATTATTTTCTTTGTTTCCGTACCTTTTTTTTTTTTATAAGGCTTGGGAATTTCAACATCCGAAATTTCAGTTAAATCGAAAGGATCTACTTGAAGAGATAAAGAGGAAAATCCCAACTCCACGTAACAAAAGGCAAAATGGGACGTCTATAAGAAGTGAAGATAAACAGCCTCACTGTTTTCAATTCCAAGAGGAATGCGCTGGTGGATCAACTTCAAATGATACATCAACCTCAATAATACAACAACAACAACAACAACAACAACAACAAGGACAAGGACAAGCACAAGGACAACCACCGAAATCCATTAACAGTAATACAGTGCATCATTCCAATAATCATTCGATTTCTCAGTCATCACCTTCACCACCATCTACACCATATGATCTACAATCTCAAGTAGAAAATTTGACGGAATTACATGCCAATTTATCTGGTCACGTTAGCAATCTATCAAGAAATTGTGGCACGATTCTTGAAGAAATCATAAGCTTTAAAAGAAATCTTGCTGAGCAAGATGTTTTATTTAGTAATTTATATCAGATTTTAACTCAACAACTTAATAATCATAATAATCATAATACTCATAATAATCATAATCATAATAATCATAATTCAGGTACCTTTTCTTTTCTTTTTTTTTTTTATTTATTTTTTTTTTTTTTAAAAAAAAAAAAAAAGAGTAATCAATAACGTAACGTAATACCTTGTCTATTAAGTAGACCGAGCGTTACGACCAATCACAGATAATGGTCCGAATGACCATCCGCCTACTAGTAGGAGATATTCATCAATCTCATCGAATTCACCCGTAAATCCAACATCAACAAATGAATATCATGATTCAAGAGAGTTACATTCGTCCTTTATATCACAAGAAAACTTGATTTTAAATTCATTAATACGAGCAAATTCATCTACCTCAATGACCGCCGCGACACCGACAATAACGGACGATACTTCAGATGAATCATTCAATGAAATGAGTGGACTTTCACATCAATTCACATCAATGGGAGCCTATTCTGCTGCTCAACAAATCAATTTTAATTTAAACCCATTCTCAACACCAAACCCTTCGCCTCCTCCTATACCTACCACCACAAATCATCGAATGTTTAGTGATAGAACTGTACCTACTTGGTCCATACAACCAAAAGTTTTGTTCGTTGATGAGGAATCATCTGTTTTGGAAAGTGGTAGACAATGGCTACAAACGTACGGTTGCCAATGTGATACGGCTTCTGATGGTTTGACTGTCATTAGAAAAATGCAATTACAGCCATATGATATAATTTTCATGGTGAGTGATCCTTTAATGATGTGCGTCAAATTAATTTATGCGAAACTGATAAAATTTTTATTTCGTCCTTCCCTTTTTTTGTTTTATCCAGAATGTTGTGATGCCAAATGGAATGAACGGATTAAGCCTAGCACAACAAATCCGACGGTTTAATCATACAACACCAATAATAGGGATGATTTCAAATGATCAATCAATTAGTTCAGCATCGGATTATTTGAATTATGGCATGAATGATCTGTTACCGAAACCATTCACGAGGCCAGGAATTTATGCTAAAATAGACAAATATTGTAATCAAATGAAAGCCAACGATTTGTTGATATCTCCATCACAAAATGACGGTGGTGACTCTAGTCAAAGGTCATTCGTTAGTTTAAATAGTTCTACGGTAGATAATACACGTCAACAACAACAACAACAAAGCGGGACCGTTACAACTTCTGTTAGCACCATAAACTTCTTATCCGCTTCTCCTATGGATTTATATCACCATCATCGGTTTATTAATGGTGATATCGATGATTTAATAAGTAAAGAAAATAGAAGAAAGAGAGCAAAATTTTCGTAATCCTTTAAAATATACATTAGAAATTTTTTTTCTTTAAAACTTTTTTCCATTAAAAAGAAAAAAAATTTTTTGAAAAATTCATTTACATATTTTATGTATATGAATTTATGAATTATATGACAATTTCTCCTTTTTACCATTCACTTATTATATTTTTTCTCTTTATCTTGCTAAGTATAATATAGCAAAAACAAAAATGATATACTTTTTTATATATATAATCCACATTTACATTATATCATTTTATCGAGGAATTAATAATCATTTTGGATTTCTTTCTTATAGGCACGGTAATGGTCTTCTAATCGAGTGTTTCCAACAAAAAGACTTGATACACGAATTGGTGACCACAAACATAAATATAAACGAAAACGCAACTAATCACTAGCGACTCAACGTTCAAAACACAAACCATTTTCCCCTTTTTAACTTTTGCTTGCTTTGGCATTTTTTTTTTTTTGTTTTCTTATTTCTGGCAAAAAGAAATCCTTTCGGATTTTCTTAAGTTCTTTTTCTTTGTAAAATAATTTTTTTTTTTTTTTTATATTGGTTTGTTTTTCCTCACTTATTTGCATTTTTTTTTTTCATTTCTCAATTTTTCTTTTATATTTGGTGTGTTTTCGATACTTATCTTAAAATTTAATAAAAAATAAAAAAATTTTTAATATAAAAGAAATCACTATAACAACACAACAATAATAAATTAGTCTCATTTCGAAGGAAGCGGAAAAGAATTTATTGTTCAATAATACAGTAATGAATACAATATATTCATTCGCGTAAAAAGAAAAAAAAAATGTACATTTACTTACGTTTAGTCACTGTTACACCAATTCAATATTTTTTTATATTAAAAAAAAAAAATATCAAATTTACGTTTAAATTGAAAATTTAAAATAAATAAAAAAAATTCGATTTTTCTGCTTATAAACTTTTAATACAAAGATGATAAACGGAAAGTCCCTTACTTATCACGGGTTAACAGCCATTTACCAGATAAGTATCGATATTGAAAAACGCTAAAAAAAAAAGAAAGAAAGAAAGAAAGTAAGAAGGAAAAGGAATAATAAGATAACGCGAATGATCATTTACTCATCAGGCTGAAAAAGGAACATAGCCTTTTGATTATCAACTAGCATCGATCAATGGCTTCTTGAATTGCTTTGGATTTAAATTCTGCTTCCTGTAATTTAGCTGCAGCAGTAAGGTAGGTCTAGTTGAGATATTATCTTGTAAAGAAACAGAATTAATACCTGATCTAAATGCACCATATATTTTCTCTCTAGATGCACACTCTCGTTCAGTCCCAAGCATACAGAAATCATATAGAAATCTTTCTCTTTAAATGCACACCCTCTTTAAAAGCACATTTTATAAAATTTTCACTATGGTCGGTCCCAAGGGGGTGCATTTAGAGAGTTGAATGTATATCGAAATTTACTATAGTAACATTTCCGTTACATCAATCTTGAATTGACCACCTTTCTTTTGCAATGACACAACCTTCCTTCTAAATAATTGCATGAGATGCCCTCCTCTATTAATAATTATAATAGTAAGGTAAAAAAAATAGTCCGTATCCCGGATTGTCAACAATCTTCTCTCGACCTTGCGGGATTCAAAGTTGAACCGTCCTTGTGGATTTAATTAGCACTATTTAACACACTTTTATGGGTTACGTCATATAGCATAAAAAAATAACGCGACTTCATTTAAGACATCATCATAGCTGTTGAGCGAATAATTGCATTTTGTCCCTCATATTTTTTTTTTTTTTTTTTGTTTCATTAAAAGTGATTAACCGCAAGCAAAGATAACCAAAACTCTAACAAATAAATAATTAAAAGGAAAAATGAAAGGAAGGAGGTTTATCGTTTGAGGTTTTTGTATAACGTGAATTTATCTACACTTAACGCCCTAAGTTTGCAAGATATTCTTGATAATAGTCGGGTGAAAATGGATTGTTTATTGATTTTGTACCAATTTCTATCTCATTGTGAAATCCTTTATGATATCCGAAGACTTTATCAATATATGTATATATATATCCGTTTATTGATAATCAATTTCGTCCATGTGATCCACCAAAGTTTGTTTGTGCATCATAGACTTAACAAGCCGCCTCAGCCGCAGAAAAGGAATGTTTGTTTGCATGTGAAATTTTTTAAAAAAAAAAAATGATAAAACGTATTATTTTTTTACCCATTTTATTTATCACAGATTTGTAAACAATAATTAAAATAAAAAATGGGGAGATTTCGAGATTACAATTAACGACTTTTTGGGTGTGACGAACCTTTTCAAATGATCCTTCCGAACTTGGCAAATGACAAAATTATACTAAGAGAAAAATGGGAAGATAATAAAGTTAGAAGAAAAAAAATTAATTTAAACCAATGAAGGATGATTTTCAAACATAATAAAAAAAAAAAAACCATTCGACCTTTTAACGGGATTTCCCATTTTTTCATTAAATTTCATTAATTTTAAATATGGCACAAAAAAATTTATTATTTTTACAAAATGGAAAAAAAAAGTTACAATCAGAATAAAAAGATCAGTTAACGAAGGTAAACATTACATCACTTAACATGTCAAACTAACCATCTTGGAAAACGGTTGACTAACAGGTCAACGTTATCAATTCAATCTATTTTTTCGAGAAAAACAAAATCACTTTTTAATTCTGGTTGGCTAGTTTTGACTTTATGCAATCATACGTTCACGAGTTCACATTCAACAAATACTTAAAACGTTGTACTAATGCGATTGCAAACCAGTTATAAACTTGTATTTATAAATAGTCTGATGTAAGGATTGTGGGTCAAATTAATTCGATCTTTATCGCCCTTTCCCTTATTTAGCATTGTGTAAAGAGATATTGTCGATTTTTACCCAATTTTTATTTTTTTTTAAATATAATATTTTGATGTGGGGACGCGATTAAAAAAAAAATAAACATGCGGAAATTTAATTGATATAGTAATTAATATATGCCGATCTGTAGTTAAAAGGTGGTCAAAGATTTAGGACCGTGAGAATATGATGTTTGTCCTTTAAATATTGATTGTGTAAATTCTCATTTAAAATCTGTTGTGGAAAGAAAAAAAAAAGATGAATGAAAAAAAAAAAATTGATGTTAAGCCATGTTTCAAAGGATATAGATTATTCTTTGCTATATGTGTGTAACATATGATTAAGTGATTAAGCGAGATATGGATATCTTACGAGAACCAGTTCACATAAAACCTAATTCTAGATTTTTTTTTTCTCCATTTTGTATCTACTATTAGGAATTATTGACTAATTTTGTCAGATAAAAAAAAAAATTCTTGATTTTATTACACTTACGCCCAATGATACCATTAGATGATTCGATGGAAAGGGAATCCATTTTAGGTCAAGAGCCATACCATGTGACAACAAAGGTCAAACCTTTCGAATTCGCACACAATTTTATGAAGACAATATTACACATATTTATCTTTTATTGTATCGTAAAGATGTATAGTAACTTGATGACATTCTACATAAGTAATCCAGCCCAAATTTTACTCTTTCCAAGGGCTTAGCAAATCGATAATAATCTTCATTAAAAAAAAAACGAAATAATCGTTATTTTCCTTTCTTCTTTGGAATTTTCTTATCTGTTTCGTAAAGTCAAAAAAAAAAAGAATAAAGGCTTTGTGCACTGAGTTCCCTTGAAATTTGTTCATATTTGGTTACTCTCAAAAATTTTGAAATTAGTGATGGCACAATGACGATAATCCGTGATACAACAAACCTTATTACTCTATAAATCTGTTTATTTTATAAAAACCCCTCATAAAATCTCAATTCTTTCAAGAGGAATTACTAGTACCAGCTTTTTTTTTCTTTTTCCTCACACCATCCAGAAGAAAAGGATTCTCCCAAAAAAAAAATTTTTTATATACTAGGTTAGATACTTTTAATTTTATATTTTCTTACGTGACGTGACATCTTGTAATATAAACAAACCTTTTTTTGTCGTTTTTTTTTTTCGATTATAGTCAAAAAGATTTCCCCCCTTTTTTTTAAAAAAAAAAAATCTTTCATGGATAAATACGCAGCAAAAGGTCGTGTTTCTTCTGGTAGTGAAATGAAGGCTTCGTCAACTCCGGATAAAACCGAAAAACATTTACCCCGTACAGATACTGCGCCAATGAAAATGGTCAAACCTAACAAAACTCGGGTTGAGAAACCCTTGACTCCTCCAGAAGAGAGACGTTCCGTAAGTTTTGACCTTTCCACTTTAACTTTGACCGATCCCAAGGGTAATATGGATGTGGATGCAATCGCTACTTCTCCCTGCGAGTCCATTGATATTCCTGCACGTGAATTGTCTCAGGACATTATGGTCGCATTGGTGGAACGTGATACCGAAATGAGGGACCTATTTATTCGGAACCAAGATTTCTTTGATATGGTTAAACAAAGTACTTTTGAGGATGATGATGCATGGAACGAATTCCTTGAACTTTTATATTCAAAACGTGAGGACAACCCCGATTCGGAATGGATGAATTCGATTTCGGAATCTCTCTCTGCAAATCCGTCCCTTCTTGTCACTTTTAAACAAATTATTGGGTTTTATGACGATGATGATACCATACAAGAATTTGAAGGTTCTTGTTCTCCCGAAATGTCTAGCACGATAAATGATGAAGCTATTATTGATATCACCCCGATACGTAGTTTTCCAAAGATAATGGAGAACTTTGAAATATCTTACCCGCAATTCTTCATTAATGCTAAAAATATCCTTGGTAAAGAGAGACAACGAAGGGGAAGCGTGTTGGGTGGTAATCATTTATTAGATAATGATAACCCAAACATTGAAAGTCATTCTCCGGAATCATCTTCGGAAACGCTTTACGAAGAATTTAAACGCATCCTACTTACTCCTCGAAGTGATATGGATGATAATGAATGGGAAACCGCCATTTATGAATGTTTAGATCCTTGGCCACAACTTATCATGCAATTAGAAGATATTATTCTCTATGAAATCTCTGAAGAATAATGCCCTTATTGTTGCTTTTTAGATTTGTGCGCACATTATTAACACGCGATTATTATAAATAATGACTTTTTTTTTATGGTGGTGGTGCAACTTCCATATCATTTTCTATAACGATATTTCTTTTTGCATGTAAAAAAATTTTGAATTCTTTTTTTTTTACTTAGCCATAACTTTCTATTTTTTTTATTTCATCATAAGAAAAAAAAATTCACGTGTACAGAATAAAATATAATCATGTATAAATTTCTTATAATAATATAAAATAAAAATTATATACATTTTATAATACATATTAGGGTTTTCTTAGTCGCGAGTAAGGTTTTTTTTTTTTTTTTTTTTTTTTTTTTTTTTTTTTTTTTTTTTTTTTTTTTTTTTTTTTTTTTTTTTTTTTTTT